TACAATGGTGTTCTATGCGCTTGCGGAATCCTTGATATTATATTTGCACTCACAAACGTCAACAGCCATAAATATAAGGCAACTCCTGTTGTAACCATGAGATGATTTGACAGCTAGTTTAGCTAGCGGCAAGGCCACAGGAGTGCCCAAGATACCGGTGTAACTATTGTATTATAGGGAGGAGTGTCCGTAGTCATGCTCTGAGGATGTAGGCAGATGGCCAAACCTCGTTAAAACATTGTGTCTCGATGACATTCTCGTTTGCATATTTTTCTCTATGGTGTTTATGCGTCCATGTTCTTCGGTTAGTAGATCTGTTTAGGTTTATATTAGTAGAATCTAGGCCCTTCGATTTTGACGATTAATGATGACACACTCATTATGACTAATGTGTCTTTTGTAGAGGCATTAATGGGCAAGGAATAGTTTTCATGCCCCTATTGATGGATTTTGTTTTCATTTTCAAAGGATGGGCGACAGGTTAAGGAAGGACTAGTTCTAAGTGTCTTGGCATTGAGAGACACTTAGAGTAGTTTAGAACTCTGTTTTTCCTTTAGCCGTACTATAAAGGCTGGTATAAACTAGTATATTGACCTACATGTGTCTAGTGAGTAGGTGTGGTGCACACTTATCAAACGTAGCACTAGGTAGCTCACAGAAAGCCCAAAGGTCAAATGGAAGTTAGCTCATTCTCCAAGTTGGTTGAAATGGATGAGAGTGCAGGGTTTTTACATGCACTGGATTTATCCGGTGCCCTAGTCAGTGGTGCACCGGAGAATGAGGTATGTATAGTGGGTTTTCTATCAATGAATATCAACCCCTATTCTTCCGGTGCACCTTAGAAGATAAGCATTAGAGCAAGCACTTTAGGTCACTGTGCCTAGGGTTTGGACGCCCAGACTCACCGGATTTATTAGGTGGGGGTTTATTGGAGTTTCCAGTGCTCCCTAGAAAGGTTCCAAAGAGGGTTCTGGCTCACTGGATTAGTCGGGTGGCCAACACCGAAGAATGCTTTGCTGGCTGATATAGTAATAGCAAGTTTGGAGTTAGTCGATGGATAGTCACCGGATTCGTCCGGTGCTCAGTTCAAAAAGCACCGGACTTCTCTAGCACTTTGTTTTTGCTGAGTGGAATTCAAATGTCTAGTTTTTGTAGTGGGGGTTATATATACCCCTCCATCTCATGCAGGAGATGTCTTTTGGCATTCGGATCAATTGCATGCATATATTGTGACCAAGGGAGAGTTCAAGACTAGTGGAGTGATTTGGATTTGCTAATTTGACGAGATTAAGGACTCCATTAGTGCTTCTAGAGTAGAAAGTGTGTATCCCCTCTTCTCATTAAGCTTGGATAGGTCAACTAAGAGTTTGTGCATGTTACTCTTGATGATCGGCATCACATAGATGCATGGCTTCGTGTTGATTGGGAGCTTGGTGATCTCTCTTGGTGGCGATTGTGAGAGGCCCAACTCATGGTGTAAACAGTTGTGGGTGATTCACCGTGCCGGATGTAATACCAGGTGTTATGTAAGGCCATTAGCATGAAACATGTAATTATTAATTTGTTAATAATAAATTATAGCAAGATTAGTATAGAAAAGAACTAAAAAATAAGAAGGAATGAAAACAAATTGTCCAATTAAACAATAGTGAAGCCTAGTGAACCGACCACATGGATTCAATGGTCTGCTTTTAAGGTTAACTGACCTCAACATGGACCCACAAGCTCTCATACCTAGCAAGGAATGTCGTCCCATGGGACCCCACACCAGAGGGATGGCCCATAGGTCAGAGAGGAGGGGGGCGGGGGGTCGGCCGAACCCCATGGTTAGGCATCCACCCTGGTGGGCGCACTCACCTCCACCGACCACTAGCACATGAACATGCAAAGAAACACAAATGTTCAAGATCTCCTCCCTCTATTTGAAGTTGGTTTCATCCAATGGCAAAGAGAAGATGTCACATGGATCCATGGGCCCACATGGAGTAGTATAAATAGAGGGGTACACCCCTCTCATTCGTGAAGCAAGGAAGCAACCTCTCAAGCTTAGAATTAAGGATGGCAACGGGTCGGGTTCGGATCGGGTGGAGTCTCCGTGCACCCAAAACCGAAACCCGAAATCGAAACCCGAATCTGCCCCGAAAACCGATTCGGGTGGAAATCCATCACCAAAACCAAACCCGCGGATACCCGAAACCCGAACGGATACCCGAAACCCGAATGGATACCCGAAACCCGCGGATATATATACACATATTCACATGTATAAACAAGAGGCAACAAATAATAAATATTTTCATGAGTCAACTTTAAATAAATTTAATAATCTAAGTAAACAAATTATTATTAGTATATTATAAAACATGAGTTTTAATTCCAAATGATTTATTTCGGATATCCATTGGATATCCACGGGTGGAAAACCAAACCTGAAACCGAACCTGATTGGTTTCGGGGCCCCAAACCCAAAAACCGTGGGTGAAAAACCATCCCCAAACCCGAACCCGCAGAACCCGAAACCCACGGATATCCGCCCCAAACCCGATCCGTTGCCATCCTTGCTTAGAATAGCTCCATCATACTCTTGTTGTAGGATAGTTTAGTGTGGGAGTTAGAAGTAGAGTTGAGCTTTGATCAAGTTCATGAAGCTGGTAGCTCTTGTACCTTTTCCTTTTTGTAAGACTTTTCCTTTATTTAATATATTATTCTATCTCTACTTTACTTATCATTTACTTTGTGCAACATTATACTTGTTATATTGTTGTTTTGGTTAGCCTTAGCATATAGTTGCTACATACTAGATTGATGATCTAGGACCCAGACTTGTATTCGATCGTCGCCTTTCATTAGGTGCTCTAATTGATCTATGTGCACACAATTAGACTAGTGAGAGAAGGTGTAAGTGTGGTGCTTATACGTACTCTATCTTGCCTTTGGTTACTGCTTGTTGCACGAAGATTGTGGATGCTAGCAGGTGGTGACAACCCTGCCTAGTCTTTGTATTCCACCACGTGTCTGAGATAAGTTCTTAAAAGGTAAGGCAAACGGCAACCAGCGAAAAGATCGAAAACTCAGTTCAAACCCGGCATGTCCGGTGCGCTAACCAGACCTGTCCTGTATGACCTGACACCACTGTGCGACTTTGGGAGAAAAATAAAAAACCCTAACAAAAGGTGTCCAAAAACTATGAAATTTTAACCACAGCCCCAAGACACCTTAAGGTAGCAGCTCACCAAATTTCAGCTAACCGGACAAGTCTGATAGATATTCACACCAGACATGTCTAGTATGTACGAGCAGACTTCGGGAAAAATAAATTCGGATGGAACTGAAACTTTGCAGGGAGGTTATTAGGGATGTTGAGAGGATATCCTCAAGTCATTAACACCCATAAATTACTCAAACTCCCACATACTCAAAATCCATCATGAAAGTTGGGGTTCTCTCAATTTCCCTCAAAGAGGTGGATTTTTGTGCTCAAGATGAATCTGACCAAACCACTTGGTAGATATGATCATCTGGGGTCATAGCACATATCCAACCCCTCAAAACATCTCGAAAATCACTGGAACATAAAATCCATCGAAAAGAGCAAAGCGAGGGAGACGAGGAGAGGAAAAACCAAAACTTAAATCAAAACAAAATTGACTCAGATCTTGAATCCTAGAGGACAAGAGGACATTAGGGCCTCCATTCACACGAATTTCAAGTGCTTACAAGAACTGGTTACACAGGTGCATAAGCTAGTTCATCTGTGGACCTCAACGGCAGAAGACTAGAGGAAGGGAAAACCTACTAAGATGAAAATGAAGTGCTGGAGAGATAAGACTGATTGGGGGCAGCCCTCCTCTTATTTATAGAGAGGCTATTACAAATTCCTAATATACCCCTAGGTAATTAGAGCGAACCACCTGAACCCAAGGGTATTACGGTCCAACTCAGAGATCCACTGATCCGATGGCCATGCGCCCCTCATGACTTAGCATCACACCTCGATGCAAGCCTCACGATGGACGTGCCACCTGTGATTCCCACCGAAACTGCACCTGGGTTTTGAGGCCCAAACTCGAAAACCGTCCACCGGTGGTTTTCAGGCCCAACCCACCAAATCGCCCGAAGAAGTGCATCCACTATGCTGCCTCCTCACCATCTTGACTTGGTCAATACGGTCATTCATCATGTCTCTTTCACTTGTTGATGACCCCAAGTGTCAGCAACCCGGCTTCTTCAGTCCCTCAGTCCAAGCCACGACATCTGTCCTTCACCGCTCCCAGTCCATCGGCACGAAGCCGTTTGACCTTCACCTTCGCCATTGACCACCGTCTCCGAGCTCCACACCTACACACCACTAGCCAAGAGACATGTTGCACAACCTAAACTCATGCCTCGGTTATTTCAGCAACTCAACCCAAAGTGCTACTCAAGTTGACATTCACTCATCACAAACCGAACCACATGGGCACATATCGACCATGTGTTTGCACCTAGATAGACAGTATGTGTAGATGGGTAGCAAATCTATGTATTTAAAAAAGTTAGAATGACTTTTTGAAACAGAGGAAGTAGTAGTTTGTGCTGGGAAGAATTACGACCTCAATTGTTGGTTGGTGCACGTGGCGTTACTTTTTGTTGAAACCACAAGGCTAGGAATCCTTGGCCCGCGTTGCTCCTGCCCTAAATTTTTTTTTTCGAACGTGCCTCAGGCACGTGCTCCTGCCCTAAATGAAAGGAGAAAGCATTTTCTGGGACAGGAATAAAGGATGCAGATCAGTGAAGCAACGCATAAAAGGTGTTTTTAGTAATGAGCAAGGCATAAATCTAATGCTTGGACTGGCAAGCACCTCCACTACACGAAGAAAAAAAGACAGAGAGAGATGCATGCATTGCTCGTTCATAGCACATCTCTAGTTTCTTGGTCTGCGGCATTTACATGCGCAAATCAAGCCCGGATTTTGTTTGATGGTGTTATAATTAGTCAGTGCATGCTCGGTGGACGATAGATGGGAGAAACGCAGCAGGTAACACAAGTTAATTTGCTCTCTCTCTTCTCTGCAAATTTAATAAGAGGTAATTAACTAGATCGAATGCAGCTAGCAGGCCAGAAGCTGAATGGATTACTCTGCTATTCTCTCTCTGAAAAATTAGATGCAGGGGGGTTCATCGTCTTCTGGGACTGGGAGTGGTGAAGGCGGCAAACAGGAGCTACCATGGAAAGCCTATGCGAAGGTGGAAGCCAAGCATCACAACAATGGCGAATGCATCCCCGTGATGGTAAGGGTATCGGGGGTCAGGGAGAAGAGAGGCCCCATGGACGTTGTCGTCGTCCTGCACGTCCGCAGGGACAAAGACAACAACTTAAATGCCCCCAAGAACTGGAGAGAGCTGCTTAAGCAAGCCAATACCGTTGCTGCGAGTCTTCATGACGAGGACCGGCTCGCCGTCGTCCCCGGCGCATCAACCTTGACGCCAGCATGGAGATTCCTACCTCCGCAGATTGAAAATTTTTCACCAGCCATGTATAGGGATACATCGCTGGTGACAGCCTTGGAACTTGCTGAGTCGGTACGCTACGCTACGCCCTGGCCCTGATCGATCATATCGTCTAGCTAATAAGTATATACTAACCTGTTAACTGTGTGTTTATGAATATATATATTAATTCATCCACATGCTGATATGCATGCAGATCTTACTTGGTCGGGAACACGAGCAAAAGATGAGGCGCGCTGGACACATTATTGTGATCTCCAACAGCAACGATGGCATGGGCAGCCTGGTCCCTTATAGGCACCGCTATGTCCGCCACGCCTTTGGCTTTCGCGACGCGCACAACACGAGGACCATGCAAAGTCTGTGCACTAGTATCCGCAACTGCACCTACTCTGTGTTGGATGACGAGCAGGGGTAGATCGCCCCGGCTTTCTTTGCCAGCATCGACAGGACCATCACCTCCGCAGTAGCCGCCGTGCCAACGGAGGTGAAGCTCAAGTGCGAGCAGAAGGTCCTTGTCGCTGCCATTGATACGCCCGGAGTGAGGCACTTCATCTCCTACGACAAGAAGGTTGGCCTGGTTTGGCCTCCCGCCCATCTCGCTGCCGAGCCCTTCAAGTTTGTGGTCTACCTTGCAAACCTGCCGCTCCGCTGCAGCGACGACGACTTGCACAGGCTGTTCAGCATTCAGGCAAAGTACAAGTACGGCGGCGGCGACGACGTGTCGTCGTCACCGCCGGTTCACAAGGTCGCCGTGCGGGTGGTCACCAGGCAAAACAACGTCCGTGAATCCAAGGAGGTGGCAGCAGAGATGGTGAGGACCCAGGCTGTCAAGATCGTCGCCGACATGCTCGCAATAGATAAAATGGACTGGGAGCAGCTCCACAGGGCCGCTGAGTCTCTGAGGGAAAAGTGGAAAAAACTCAAGGAAACCGATCATTGCTACAAGGAGGTTGCTGCTGGCGACGACGACGGCGTCATATGTGGGCTTTCTGCGGACATCTACGAGATGGAGATGCGTCTCTTCAACAACTACTTCTGGCAGGAGTACATGCTCTCCTGGCACTCACACCAACGCTGGCAGCTGCCTATTCCACGGCCATTCATGGACAAGCAACCCACCAGGAATCAACATCTCCTGGTGGTCGATCCTGTCGTTGTCCCATCCCCAGCTGGTGAGGGTACGGTTTCCGATCCTTTCTCCCCCAAAATATCCTGATATTTCCGATATATATATATATATATATATATATATTTATATTTTGTTTATCTCCGATCCGTAGATGCTGATAAGAAATGATCTAGCTACTATCTTTCTCATACAAATTTTGCTTAAATTTGTTTGAGTTTACTTAAATTCAAATTGAATTTGGTCGGTCGGTTTGATATTTCCAATGATATATCCTGTTTATCCCTGACCCCTGATAAATTTTGTTTGCCACAATGAAAACCACGCAGCGCCTGGTGAAGAAGGCCTCCTTCCAGTGCTGGTGCGTGTCATGGCATCGGAGGTGGGGTTGGCAATGGAGAAGCGCGTGCCGGTTGACCTTGTCGTCATGGTCGACGCCGGCTACGGGGCCAAGGAGATGGAGGAGACACTTGAGAAGAGACGGAAGCTGCTCAGCAAGGCCAAAGACTTGGAGGAGCAGCACAACTATGCCAATCAAATGGACGAAGAAATTGAGAGGGTGAAGTACAGGGCTAGAAAAAGGCTGGACGTGATCACCACGGCCATTGAGCTGGTTCAGAAAAAGCTTAGCGCCAAGGACCGGCTTGCCATCATTTGCGCCCAATTCCCTGACACTGAACCTGAAGCTGGCCTCTTGAAGATGTCTACACGAGGACAGTGGCAGACCAACGCCAAGCTGAAAAAATTCATGGGGAAGCTGATGGAGTTGAGTGAAGCCAGCAGGAAGATTCCAGCTGAAAACAAGCCAAAATTATCCAAGGTATGCTCTCATATATAACCTCATTATCATGCATATAAAGCTTATCCAAAAATTCCAGAGTTGTTAAAGATTACATGTTCTTTCCGTGCAAAATTTTTATGTCATCAGACACAGATAAAATATCAATGCATTGCACTTTGTACAGAAACCACATGTATTTGGGAAGCGTAGACCCTCTCCTCTAGCCCCTTGCGTGGCATATAGGATGGTGAGGCCTAGACTTTGTTAGCTTCCAACTAATCTACAACACACTATCTAAACTAGGTTTGGCTCGATCGGACTCTAGGCGTACACAACAGAATTATACACATCATACCTTGTCTCTAACAGCAGCCCCCTGCAATCAAAACTTCCCCAAGTTAATTAAGGTATCTAAACTATGCTAACTTCTGAATGAGCTGCCTGGTCGTCGGTTGATGATATAATGCAGGCCCCCAATTCTTTACGTGCAACTCGTTCTCACACAAAGTGAAAGTCTACGGCTCTGTTCGGTACTGCTAAAGCTGTCGGCTGTAGCTGCAGCTATGGCTAAAGTGATCTCAGTATTTTACTGTACTAGCAGTGCAGCAGCCTCTACCTGTAGAAGCGAACGAAGCCGTCAATATGCAGTGAGACATGTAGCACCGATATATAGGACGGAAAGAGATCTTTAGTTCCCTTAATAGTGTTTGCATCCATATGACTTCAGCTACAGCATTTGCTAGCGCTTTGTATTTTGCCTCTGTACTTGATCTAGAAACAGTAGGATGCTTTCGACCACTCCAGGACACTAGATTATCTCCAAAATAAATAGCAAATCCTCTAGGTCTCCTGTCATCAACATTGCTAGCCTAATCTACATCAGAAAATATAATGCACTCACAAGTGTTGAGAAGATTTCTTCACCCTCAAACCAATATCTATGGTGTGTTGCAGATATCTGTGTATTCTCTTAACTGTTGTCTAATGCACTGGTGAAGGAGAGTGAAGAAACTTGCACACCTTGTTAACTGAGAACGAGATATCTGGACATGTTAGTGTTAAATATTGTAAGGCTCCAACGATGCTTCTCTATTTTGTAGCGTCTTTGATAACCAGGGGTTCTCCTTCCACTATTGTTAACTTCTCCAAACTGGATAGCGGTGTAGTGATCAGCTTGCACCACGACTTCCCACACGTTTGAGAATAATATCAGAAGCATATTTGCTTTGAGATAAACAAATGTTGTCACATACCATCTTGACCTCTATCCCCAAGTAGTTAAGCTTCCTAAATCCTTGATAGCAAAGTCAGACTTCCAAGTTTTTTAGCAAGGCCAAAACTACATCTTGTGAGGACCTAGCCACACTTATATCATTAACATAAATCAGCAACAAAATAGTAACACCTCCCTTATTATAAAAGAACAAAGAAATATTAGCTCTTGATGGAGTAAAACCTAATTTCTGTAATTTTTCACTCAACCTTGAATACCACTCCCTGGGATCCTATTTCAAACCATAGAGAGCTTTATCTAATTTGCAAACATAATTAGGAAAACTTTGATGCTCATAACTAGGTGATTGTTTATATAAATATCGTCCTCTAGGTTACCATGAAGAAACGAGTTCTGCACATCTAATTGCCTAAGACACCATCCTTTAGAAATAGATATAGACAAGGCAACTCTTGTTGGACCTTTGACAATAGGGCTAAATGCATCCTCATAGTTAATACCATACCTCTGTATAATGTTTTTAGCAATTAACCAAGATTTATACCTACCTGTAGTTTCATCAACTTTCCTCTTAATTGTGTAACTAATCCCATTTGCAATCTATGACATTTTGTCCTTTTTTGTTGAACCAAATGCCAAATCTTGTTTCGAATTAATAAAGCCTCATGCTCAGCATCCATAGGTAGCTTCTAGTTATTATCATTTCAAGTTTCACTTAGATTATGTGGCTCACCAATTGCAGCCAACCATCCGTACCTTAGCCCATTCTCAGTAGAGAGTTTCTTAGTATTATTTACAAGAATACAAAATGCAATGAAACATAGATAAAACAATCACTCTAATGGCACAGTTTCATTCGTTTGTTTTATAGTAATTTAATTCTCTATAAATCGTCTTGAGTTGGAAACCGAGCTAAGAGAAACTTATCTTTTCTCTCTCTTCTTAAAAACAATGCCATGTCATAAAAATACCTACGCGGCATCCTTTTAAATGCAAAACTACCACTAAAATTGGCCTTATAGTTCCTTCCTTGTACTATTTCACTTTCCTGATTCCATTGTGAAGCCTTGTTCTTGAACAAGCTAATTCTGAAAAAGTTTTTTCAGCAGAGGCAACTGGTGTGTAGCCGCATAGGATCATATGGCCTTTTCATCAACGTGGTTTGGGTTCTCCTAAATTCTAGCAGGTAGGCTCCTATGTCGCCACGTGTAGACCATTAGTTGGGGAGTAGCATGGCTAGCCGGGGCTGGCACGCTGCAGTACCCAATTCTGATCTTGAGGCTACAGTAGAAGAGAAGTCCTACATACAAAATCACCATTTTCTCCCAAAACGGCATCATTTGAGTTAGAATTAGGGCAGGATTAGGGCACCCTCAACAAAAGAGTCCACTTGCTAGCTCATATGATGTTAAAAAAGATAAAAATGGAGCATCCTAACACACTGCATAGAGAAATATGTGAGCATAGACATATGAATAGGAAGGAGCGTGCTTAGCTCTTCATGAATATTTAGGAGAACCAATGAAACTCACACAATATTTATTTTTTTTCCGGCAAAATATGGGGGCAGGCCCCATATACCCTAGAAAATAAGTTCTAGTGGCTTAGATGAAGCACTAGAAGATCTAGGTTATGAAAATTGATGCCTCTTGGCCTGTTGACACGCATCATAGACATACTGGTTGTATCCCGATCCTTAATCAAAAAAATAATATTAGGGTGAAATTCAAATAAGGCATGATTGTTAGAAGCAAGGCCATTTGCAGACACTACAGTCTAAGCTTTTGAAACACGGAGTACATCATTTAGATGAAGATTACAACTAGGCAAACTAATGATAGCATGACCATCATGACTAATGTTCATACCTACACCGCTTGCAGTGTGGGTTTGGTCATTCCTTGTACTTGTCTCTTCTTGCGCCGAGCTTGTCAAGATCTCATGTAATGTATAATCCATCAAACCTGTATCAGTGTACTAATTGTGACCCCATACCTCTGAGTGGCTAAGGAAGCACTCACTACTAAAAAAGGATTCGTAGCGATGCCTCATTTTTTGTAGTGGCGGCTCAATCTAAAAGTGCTCCTACAAATAGTACAAGGAAGGACCCCAATAAGTTAGTGTGAGGTGCAATGGTTAGACGAGAGAACGCGTGAGGCTGAGGTCGTGGGTTCTAGCCCGGCAGGCAGCTGCGAGCGCCGTTTTTTGCGACTTATTGTGACTTGCGGCACTTACGGGCATATTGAGAATTCTGGAAAACGGATTTGTAGGCGTCTCTACAAATCGATTTATGTGCGGCTTGGGAACCGCTTAAACAAATCATTGATCTCAGAGAGTCATCTGGATAGGGGCGGCCGGGCAAACCGCCCTACAAATGGTCTAAAGCCACCCCTCACGGAGCCTTTGTGTAGTAGTGACTCCTCTACCGGCGGCGATAGTCTTGTTCGTACCTATCATCTATCAATGGCATACACAACTAAATTCTACAAATCATACCATATCTCTAACACACAGGACATTTTGTTAAAGAGATGAGATATGCTCACATATTTATCCTGTAATGGTTTCACAAATTTTACAAACTTTACAAAAAGACAGTTGTAACTGCAGGAACATTTTATTAGCATAATTACCAACGATCCGAGCTCCTTGGATCCACATGTATCTAGTGGGCCCATAATTATTCTGTGTCCGGGCTGTGTTGGAACAAGCGTCCCGAATAGGTTGGAGAGGTGGAGGCTCCTTGGTGCGGAGAAGGTCTGTCGACGAAGGCCTGGCCAGAGAAGGCTCCGACGAAGGCCCGGCCAGAGAAGGCTCCGACGAAGGCCTGGCCGGAGAAGGCTGACGTCGAAGGCCCGGCCAAAGAAGGCTAGCGTCGAAGGCCCGGCGGGGGAAGGCTCTAACAAAGGCTTGGCAGGAGAAGGCTCCCGAGGGAGGTCGGCGGGAGAAGGCTCTCGGAGAAGGCCGACGGGAGAAGACCTGCTGACGAAGGCTCCAACATAGGAGGGTAGAGTGAGGCGGCGACTAGGCTTTGTGAAAAACAGAGGAGAGAGGAGAGAGGAGAGAGCCCCCCTTGCCCTCATGTTCTTGGCATTATATAGGCAAGCGGAAATTTACAAGCGACCCATCGGTGGTGTGAGTTTTACATGCCACTCTAATGGCGCTAGTTGGGCCTCTTCTAGGGGACTTGGCCCATATGAATATGGCATGTCTCAACAGTAGCCCCTTATCTATTAGGTTATGGCCGGTACTACATGACCTCGTAGATGCTCATACTAGAAGAGGCACAATACAACTCGAACCTTGGTTGCGAGGACTGCCCTTCGCAAACCACATGTGCACGCCTCGCTAAAAACTCCATCCCAAAAACCCTATGTGAAAAAGGGCATGGAGAAAACAGCACGTGCATGATTCTAACCTATACATCTAAGTCCTGAGGCGTCTACCTCTGAGTGCCTTGTTCTTCCGGATGTCTTCACCTTTGGGCTTCAGCTTCTTTCTGCACTTTTATGCCATTGTTCGCTGGCTTCGCTTGGTGCACATGCCTTCATCTTCAAGGCCTTCTCCAATATCTTCTTGACGCGAAGGTCTATGGCTCTAAGGTCTTTTTGGCACACATGTCTTATCTTTGAGCCTTCTCAGCGTAGAGGTCTTCATCTTTAAGGCCTTCTCACGAGCGTCGGGCAAAAAGACTTCGCGTTCCGTAGTTACTGGTCCTCTGATATGCTCCCCTAGCCCCTCTTGGCTGGTGCTCATGATGAAGGTGTAGTCGATGTAGTCGTAGTGGTGGAAGTAGATGTTCGGACTAGAGTTGCTGATGAGCCCCTTGAGTCGAAGTGGTTGACGAAGGTGTGGTAGACCTTGGTGTCGAAGAAGTTGATGTAGTCCCTCATGCTTGGCGATGGGAGCGAGCCACCGTAGGCGTTGATGCCGAAGGATTTGGTGAAGGCTCTTGAACCGTTGTAGTGGGCGAGTGTGATGGCGAAGCCTCTCCTGCCGAAGACCCTTCTACAAAGGTGTTTAGTGGAGTAGATATTGGTGTGGACGACGAAGGTATTGGTGAAGCCCCCTCGTGCCGATGTATTGGTAGAGGCGAGTCGTCCTAGTTTGCCATGACTGTTTGCGAAGACCCTCTTGCAAAGGTGTTTGGTGGAGGTGAGGTTGGTGTAGATGCTGAAGGTGTGGCGAAGGCCCTCCTGCAAAGTTGTTTAGAGAAGGCCCTCCTAAAAAAGGTGTTTTGGTGGAGGCGATGTTGGGCGTTATAGCTTTATCGAACA